TCTTGGATGACCACATCATCTAGCATCTGCTTCTGTGAAGCTTTGCGAAGAATGTTGGCTTCAATTGTGTGTTCACTGACTAGACGGTAGATGTGTACATCACGAGTTTGTCCAATACGATGACATCGATCTTGACACTGCTTGTCCATGGCGGGGTTCCAATCTTGGTCGTAAAAGATAACGGTATCAGCACCTGTAAGATTGATGCCGAGACCGCCCGATCGAGTAGACAGGATGAAGCACAGAATTCGCGGGTCATTGTTGAATCGATCGGTAAGGATTTGTCGCTGTTCCACCTTGGTAGCACCATCCAGACGGAGGTACTTGTGACCGTGTATGTTCAAGAATTGTTCCAGAATGTCCAAGACCTTGGTCATCTGTGTAAAGATAAGGGCGCGATGACCACCAGTCTGAAGCTTTCGCAGCAGCTTGTCTAGAACTTGGAGCTTTCCGCAGTCGTATTGTAACAGACGCTTATCGGGGAATTGGATGCTGAGTCGCATGCGCCCTTCATGCCAAGGATCGGGTGGTGCTTCTTTCGGTAGGAATGGTGCCCATCGGACGGGTTTCGAGAGTTTGAGGTCCTCGTCTGTAAATGCTTCAATTCCTTTGCGACCAAGGACAAATTGGTCCATGTCTCTGGTCACAACGGCCGGTGTAACACATGAGAACTTCTCAATGGTCGTCTTGAAGCTGTCGGCACGTTGATTGACAGTCGGTATCATAGACTGAATGAGCCTCGATTCCTCTTCGAACCAAGACATTACCATACGAGGGACTTTAGGACGGGGCTTGTATGGCCTCTTGTCCGTACCAATAGTTAATAACTCTACCAAGTTCTTGCCATAAATGGGTTTCTTCTGGCGGCGTAGGGCATTAAGATATACGCAATGTTGAAGCTCTTCAAAACGTCCCCATCTTGCGCCACTCTCCAAGTATGCGATATTCGATGCGACTGTTGAAGGATCTAGGTGGTCGTTTGCTTGGTGTGCTCGGGTTCTTTGAGCCTCTTTAAGGTCCATTAATATTCGATGAGAGCTGAGTTGTGAGATTCGCTCGGCTTGTGTGGTTGATAGGGATTCGGATTGAGTGGGAATGAGGTTGAGAAAGCCGAGGCTGACGTCTTTCATTGGCTTGGGATCAAGAAGTAGCTTCTGAACCCTTTGCTCGATAAAGTCGTAGTCTGAGACGACCGACTTGCTCATTCGGAAGGATGTCATGATTGGTCGGTCAACGAAGAGATCTGGGTGATTGCAGACCTTTCGCAGCTGCATGAGACAGTTGATGATGGACAGATAATTGCCAGAGTTGAGTGTCTCTTTGGTGTCGTTCCGTGAGAGGAACCCATCGTAGAGCTCACGTTGTCGCTTGGAGAGTCGGCAAAACTCAACATGCTCATACTTGGCAGGCATTTGCTTTTCAACGTCGGCTTTCAATCTTCGTAGCAGATAGGGTCGCAGAACTTTGTGCAGTTTCGAGATGATAGCTCGTGCCTCATCGTCCATCTGTTCTCTTCCACTCTCAAGAATTTGTGATTCAGGCTTTGCGAACCAATCGTGAAACTCTTGTAGGTCGGCGAAACCACCAACACCATTCTCGGCTGGCATGAGGAAGAAGAGGAGCGACCAAAGCTCTGTAAGGTTATTCTGGAGAGGTGTGCCGGTGAGCAGTAGCCTGGCCTGAGTATTGAAGCCAAGTAGCGTCTGCCATCTTTGAGATTTGAAGTTCTTGATGTTGTGTGCTTCGTCAAGGATCATGTAGTGCCAGCGACGTCGCTTGAACACTTGTTGATCTTGAAGAACAAGCTGATATGAGGTGATACAAACATTCCACACATCATCATTGTTCCAGCCTTGTCGCTTGCGTTTTCGTTCCTCTTGAGATCCGTAGTATGCCAAAATTTTAAAGCCAGGGCACCATTTCTTGAACTCCATTTCCCAATTGAGCATGACACTGGTAGGGACTACAACAAGATGCGGTCCCCATACCTCGTGTTCACATGCTAGATGTGCAAGAAGAGCGATAGTCTGGATTGTCTTGCCAAGACCCATTTCATCGGCAAGAATACCGTTGGTGCTGTTGGCGTAAAGGCCTGCCAGCCAATCAAGTCCATCGCGCTGATACTCTCGTAGTCTGCCTCTAAGAAGAAATGGGACATCGATCTTGTGGTTTGATGATTGCTGTGGTGAAGCAGATCGACTTGGTCCAGTCTTGTCTACAACCATCATCTCCCCAGAAGAAGCCGTGTCCAGCTCAGATGGCTTGGTTTCTGATGTAGGAGGGGGAGACATACTATGAGCACGACTGGGAGGATTAGTAGGTTGTTCTGATGCTGATCTGTGGTTTTCCGAGGGCAGAGTAGGTGCGGGTTCTTGTTCCTCGGTGGGTTCTGTCATGACAACCTCAGTGTCTTGTGGCGTGGAGCCCTCCGCCGGGGCCTCAGGGATGGTATCGCCATCGATCGGGACATCCTCAGCCGCGTCAGGTGCATTAGTCTCTAGAGTCGGTGTTGGGGTCTTCTTTGCAATGTCGGTGCCTTCAGTTTCTGCCACTTCGGGCTTCTCAACAGAAACTCCCTCAACCTCACCGTTGGCCTTTGGCGTAGACTCTTCTGCGTCAGCCATCTCGGTATCTCCATTCTCAGTTGGCCCCTCTGTCGCAGCTTCATCGTTCATCTTCTTCAGCTCTGACTTGCCAAAAAGAAGTCCCAGCAGGCCACCTCCAGCATCTTCATCAGACTCTTCTTCCGATTCATCGTCTCCCTCCTGATCACTCTCCATATCGGTAGACCCCATATCATCATCCATGTCAACAGACTCATCACTCGTGTCGGCATTTTCTGTCGCGGTTGCTTGGGCAGTATCGACTGCATCAGTGTCATCCCGGCTTTGTTCGGTGATCGGTGTTTCCGCGTCCGGCTTTTCGAGTTCTGGTATATGGGCATACTTTGCTCGCAGCTGTTCTTGTGTCAAGTTCTCATCACCAACATCCTTCAAATCCTCCTCTTCGTCACCCTCTTCCTCATCTGATGACATTATGTCGCTGTCGGGGTTGTCTTCGCTATCTCCGTCTTCTCCCGACGCCAAGTCAAGGTCATCGTCGTCGTCGTCGTCCATGCTCATTTCGTCACTAAGATCATCGAATCCATCCTCTTCCTCTTCCGAGAGTTGCTCAGAGTCCAATCCTGCTCTCCGGGCTTGCAGCTTCTGCTCAGAGAGGTTAACAGCTTCATTCAAAGCTGCCTTGACCCTCTTCTGCTCTTCTTGTTCCCATTCGGCCAACCTTCGACGATTGACTTCAGCACGAACATTCTCCCATGTACCGAAAAGTGCCTTCACCACAACACGATATCGAGATATCCATATCGCCCTTTGTTCCGCTTCGATCTCTTCTTCTGACTTTGGTTGGCGCCGTAGCCACTCGTCTCGGCAGGCCTCGGCCACTTTCTTCGCGGTCAATCGATGCCGTTGTTGTTCAGCCAGCATCAGTTTTCGAAAGTTCATCATAGCCTTCACCATGTGGTCTTGTCGAGCCCATTGCCTGGGCGGCTCTTCCTCTGCTTCCGGGAGGAATACTGAGCAGCGCCCTTGGGAGAGTAGCCCGCCAGGTTCGACTTCTTGTTCAATTCGAAGAATGGTGCGTGCGTCCTTGGCGGCCATTTCATCAGTATAAGGAGGGCCATCTTCAGATGCAAGGAGTCCACCTTCCTCAACAGGGATGTCACCAGCTCGAGCCCAAAAGTCTTCAAAGTTCGTACTAATCTTGGGTTTCTTTCGGACTTGATCAGGATGCACTAGAGGAATATCGCCAGATCGTCCGACTCGTAACTTAATGCGGGGCGATCGATTGGTAGCATTTTTCGGTTCTTGAATGTCGTCTTTAACATCGCTAAATCGTGCGGATCTTCTTGATCTGGTTGAGGCTTTTGGAGAAGGGCTTCGGCGTCGGGTGGAACGAGAGGGTCGGGTTTCTGTAGGCTTTTTTGAGGATTTTGGAGTCGACGCGGGTGTTTGCTTCGAGGGAACTTTGGTGGCGGAGCTAGCTTTGTGTGAGCCGTTGGGCATCTTTCTCGAGTTGCCATTAGTCAACTGAATTTCTGCCTTTGGTTTGGAAGCATTGGAAGTTGTGCCAGATCGTCTCGCGCTTCGAGTTTTTGTATTTGTTTCGATTGGGAGTGTATTGATGCGGCCTGATTTTCGACGTCCATTTTCGGTGAATGACGTTGGGCCGTCGGCAGATATCTTCTTCCACGGTGGCGACTCGGGCTTGATCTTTTTTGGCGTACGTGGAGGTGTTGATTCTCGTGTGCGTCGTCTTTTTGCAGGTCGTTCATCGTCATGGACATGACCGTTTGGCTGTGACTCTGGTGCATCGCCGTTCGTCTCATCGTGACCATTAGTCATCCCATTCAACGCGTCATCACCATTGGCATGCGCCTCGGGCGCGTTCTCGTCCTTGATGGCATCAGGGTCCGACTTGGGCTGCACGTTGGCGGGCGACGCGGTCTCGGGCATAGTCGCAACGTGGAGACAGTGGACGCAGTGGGCGTTTTCTCTGCGAAGCTATCATTTGCGGGGTCGAAATTAATGTCTACAGAATAGTAGCGCTTCAGCGGATATTCATACAAATTTTGCACATGTTCAGATGCCTTGCGGGCGAACTGTGTGGAATTTAGTGGTAAAATCCAATGTCGTCAGCAAAACTTTTGAGCTGGGGAAGAATCGAAGATGCACGCCCCTGGACCTCCAAATGAGCTAACCGAAAATGGCCCGAACGCGCTTGTTGATGCCTGAGGCCCAATTTTCGGTTGAGAATCATCACAGCCTCCATTGGCTAAAGCTTCAACGAGCATCACATCACGTCACAGAGCAATTGGTCGCCGCGACACTGTCACTCGGCCGAGGTATGCTGTCGGGAGGATCCGTTACACGCTCAATTGATCGCTAACTTTTCAGATGCTCCCTCAACGAATTGTGCGGGCCTCGGCCCTGCGCAGCACCATGACGGCTGCTCGACGACTTCCCACGATCCAACGCCGAACCTTCCTCCCCGACCAGTATACCGACAAGAAGGTCATTGACCAGAAGTACCCCGACCCTCCCAGCTTGAGCGAGGCCGAGGACCCCGGAATGGTCAGTGATGAGGGATGTGAGGAGGAGCGAAGCTGATAATCTCGCAGAACGGCGGCTACATCAACCCTCCCCGAATCAAGCGACAGTTCCGTGACCCTCATGCGGGCTGGTGGGATCCCCAGGAGCGACGAAACTTTGGTGAACCCATCCACGAGGATAACGATGTTCTTGGAATCTTTTCTCCCTGGGAGTACACCTGGACTACCACTGGTCCTGGTGCTGTCATGGTCGGAACTTTTATCGCCGTTTTCCTGAGCGTTACCGGAGTTGTCTACCTCAACTATCCCGATCGACCTGCTTATCCCCGAGAGTTTGAGGGTGGTCTGGAACGAGAGCTTGGTGGCCCTGGAGCTACAAGGGTGAGTGGTCAGGGATCTTGGATATTCGTATGCTAACAGCTATAGGCTCGCATGGAGGGTGATGAGGAACCTTGAGAAAATACTCATTTGTACATAAGAAAGAATGGATCAATGGATTAAGTTCAATGGATGTTAGAACCGTGTACCAGCAATTGATTGAGACGAACTGACATGATATGGCTAACAAATGGCTTGACTGTGTAAGTAGTTTGTGGCACGTACTTGGCATAGTCAGAGCCCAGTGAATGATTGCAGTTAATCCCTAATTGCTATTTGCCCAGAGAGTATCCCAAACGTTCAGCTTGCACTGAGTCAAACTACACCAGTGTCTTGTCCTTACCGGTGCCTCTGCTCCTAAAGCCTGCCATGGTCCCTGGAATCAGCCCTATGGACCACGTTTAGTCCCTAAAATTGGCCAAACAGGCTCCTCGTCACCTTCCTACATACATAGCATAACATCTCAGGCAAGAGCAAAGACAAGCCCGTCATGTCGTCAATAACATCTCCTCCAACTCTCATCCATCACTTCTACTCCCCCATATCATCCATCCCATCAAGATGCGGTACGAGGATTGGGATGTCCTTCTTTTCGAGGAGGGCTCTAGTATTCCCTCTCGGGAATTTAAAGTGGCATGTCATGTCGTTCAGCATGCGGGTAAGTCGATGTTTGGAGTGTACCAAAGGCCAAGCTAATCATCACAGAGTCCATGGGTTCTGCTCTTCCAACCCTCACGTGTTTTGTGCCTGGCCTCAACGCAGGAGTTCCCTTTCGTCTGTCTATCCACTCTTGGAAAGCATTAAAGGATTTAAATGGTGATCATATCCTCAACATTAGCAATTCGGTCCTTGAAACCAGGCTCTTCATCGATGGATCTCTTGTTGCGTATGTTTCCCATTTGGCTGCTGGTAGAGCATGATGCTAATATTGGCAGATCTACATCCGCCACTGGCAACATTCGCTTCCCGTTGATCATAGATAGACAAGGTCACGAGAGCCTCAAGTTCCCCATCTTCCAACAGCAACTGCTCTATCAACGTCACTGGAGCCCAGCCGACAACCTCGGCCGTATCAAACTCCTCGTCAACCAACGCTTCTCTAGTGCTTCGCCGAGCGTTCTGTTCACGGGCACTGTCAACAAGACAGTTGTGTTTTCCTTTCAACATGCACCTCAGCACATTTTAGAAAGCCTTCAAATAGCCTGGCCCAATCCAGCCATGTGGACTCGTCAACGCCAACCTTCTGTACCAGCTTCTACAGATACTTCCTATGTCACCTCACGTCCACCACTTTTTGCGCGTCGTGGACAACCGGGCCCGGAACATATTAACGATGCCGCTCTCGGAACTCTGCCATTTTCTGGTAACCCTAATTTTGGATGCCCAAATACTCCAGTGAACGGGCCAATGTCACCACGGAGCTACGTTCTCGTCCCGCCGGGAAGAGAAGGATCACCATATCCGTTGGCTTCCGAGGTGCAGCCTCATAGAAACCACGGACTAGCATGGCCGATTTCTCCAGTTTTCACCGACGCCACGTTTAGGGTGGATCAGACCCAGAATGCATCGCAACAGTACCCCCAGCCGAACAGCGCTCCGATGTCATTTGTACAACCTCAGCTACATAGTCCTGCGATTCAAGGGTCGACCGAATTCGGCCGAGGAACCCCAAGAAATCCTGCCAGGCTTATCTTTGCACCGAAACGCAACAGTCCACAGGAGTCTTTCAACTTGGATGTTGTTGAGAGGGCGACAAAGAGAGCTCGAGCCAACACTCCAGAGTCTGCAAAGACACTTAACCACGAACAGCAAAATATCAGCCCTCACTTTGACAGTCCTTACGAGTTTGTAAACGTAGATGAGGATATCATTTGATCTTAAAGGCGGCGGTCTCCTGTAGTCGATTACGGGACGCATCACATGGCATAGTAGGGGGGCCTGTTATCTCACTGTTTCCGACATTGTTTTCTTGTCCTACATGTAGCATCAACCCATGTTTTATCACATATCAACTTTGTTGTCTAGCTGGTTAGGTGCACAAGCTTAGTTCGACCTTGACAGGCAGTCGTTAACATAACACGCGATGATTCATCAGTTTCGCGAAGGTTCCGGGCTTCCGTCTTAATGCCTCGCATGTAAATGACTTTACAGAAATATGAATGGCAGGCTACTAGCAGCTTATATCACCTTGTACGACAGTTGTAACACCAGTCTCGTCATGTTGACTCACTCAACGTGCAAGATTCTAGGTCGGTCATTTGACCTCCGCCCTCCGATCCAACGTTCATTCATTACAAAGCTGGGTAAATTCGGGCTCGGGGTTTATTGTAAGTCCGCATGCTGCGAAACCTCAGAAGTAGGGACCGTTCTGACCATCTTGTTCTCTTCTAAATGATCGAATTGGTTTGGTTAGGTCGCACAACTTCTCATCCTCAAGCCTCTTCTTATATCGTGTAGCCCATTTGCACTCAAGATACAACGAGATTACTGCCGACCTGATACGATTCGTGGCTTTCGTGTCGATCTATGCTAGTTCGTCAAAGGATCAATTGTTCACATAAGCATCCGCCTGGGCCATCGCGCAATTGAGATGAGATTGGCCACAATCATTGATCCCAAGATATACGGGCTTACCCACGGCTGAAGCTGAACGGAGACTCCGACAGTCATCCATGACTTATAGACAATCCGAGCATCCTCAAGCCTCACGGCTTCCGGCTTCCGCTAGGCCGCAATTTCTGGTCTGGAGGAGTAAATGCGCTACACGATCTTATCGTTCCACGCTTTCTCTTGGTCAAGGCCGCTGAAGTCATGGCAGGCCCCCGTATGCATAAGCGGAATGCCACACCTTTGTGCCAGGCCACAAGTGCAGGTGAACATCTTTTGTCAAGTCCTGTTGCTGTAGTTTTCTCTGGCCCCCGAGGTGAGACGAAAAGTTCATCGACTCAGCATGAACTTCCTGAAAAGATTCCGTCGTGTTACATTGCTCTGCAGGCTTCTCGTGGGTGGTTGATGAAGCTAAAAGGACGTGTCTTTCCGCATGCTTGGCTGCTGTTGTTGTTCTGTTCACTTTCAACGGCACTCGTTGACTCTTCAAGATGGCTTCTATTATGTCCGCCCCAGACTACTCTATGGCTGCGACGAGTCGTTCGCACCTGAGTGTACGTCTACCAAAAGAAACTCTCTACTCATCTTTGAGGGAATCTTCTCGCTACTTCAACTTTGACTCAGAGACTGCCAAACTTGCTCGGGATGCTGATGAGTGGCTTGCAACGCATCCTAACGGTTCGGGATCTAAGGAAAAAGATGTCAACGGTATAAGTCGACCTTCATCAATTGCCCCAAGCAACTTTAGTGTTCGATCTTTACCAGCAGACTACAGTATGCCAGAGTATCATGGCAGAGACTTTCCTCATCCTGTTATGGGATCAGTGCGTCACAACGAGATTAGACCTCGATCTGCTGCTCCAACGGAAAGCACCGAGAAACTTCGCTCATCGCCTCCCGTGGACGGTGTTGAGCCCACAGGGCCTGATCAGGAGTATCCCACTGGAGTCAAGCTCGCCCTGATCACCCTCGCTCTCTGTCTCGCCGTCTTTGTCATGGCCCTGGGTAAGTTCATCATCCCATCAGTGACCTCGCTCACACATCAGACAACTCCATCATTGCAACTGCAATTCCAAGAATCACCGATGCTTTCGAGAGTCTCAATGACGTGGGGTGGTACGGCTCAGCATACATGCTCACAACGGCCGCACTGCAGCTGTTCTTCGGTAAGCTGTATACCTACGGCAGCATCAAGTGGACCTTTTTGTCAGCCATTGCTATCTTTGAGGTCGGTAGCCTCATCTGCGGTGTCGCCCCCGACAGTGTCACCCTCATTGTGGGACGAGCTATCGCCGGCGTCGGTGGCGCTGGCATATTTGCTGGTGCGCTCACTATCCTTGCCTTTTCGGTGCCTCTTCATAAAAGACCTATCTATACTGGTCTTGTCAGTGGTATGTGGGGTATTTCCTCCGTTGCTGGGCCTCTGCTTGGTGGTCTCTTTACAGACAAGGTTTCATGGCGTTGGTGTTTCTACATCAACCTTCCCATCGGCGCCATTACCGTCGTTGTCATTCTTTTCTTCTTCCCCGAGCCCGAGCGTGATATCGAGCCTGCGACATGGCGCGTTCGCTTCTGGCAGCTTGATCCCGTCGGGACTGGCATCTTTATGCCCGCCATCGTGTGTCTCCTGCTTGCTCTGCAATGGGGTGGTGTCGACTACGACTGGGATGACTCCGTCATTACATCCCTCTTTATGCTGGCTGCCTTTCTTCTCATCGTGTTTGTCTATGTGCAATACAAGATGGACGAGAACGCCACTGTGCCTCCTCGTATCTTCAAGAAGCGCACCGTCTGGGCTGGCGCCTTTTTCTCATTCAATACGGGCGCGTGTTTCCTCACAGCCATGTACTTCCTCCCAATTTGGTTCCAGGCTGTACAAGGACAAAGCCCTATCATGTCGGGCGTGAGAAACCTCCCGATGCTTCTCGGCATCGTTCTCTGTGCCATGGCCGCCGGTGCTGCCGTCACTGTCTGGGGCTACTACACCCCCTTCATGATCGCCGGCTCAGTTCTCATGGCCATCGGCTTCGGCGTCATCACCACATTTGAAGTCGAAACATCAACAGGCAAATGGATAGGCTACCAGCTTATCGCCGGCATTGGCGTAGGCGTTGGACTCCAGCAATCTCTCATCGCCGTCCAAGTCGTCTGCGAAATGGTCGACGTCCCCACAGCCACAGCCCTCATCGTCTTTGCTCAAACCCTCGGTGGTGCGCTCTGCGTTACAGCTGGCAACACCGTCTTCACCAATACACTCATCAACAAGATCAATGAGCATGTGCCCGGTCTGGATCCATACTTTGTCATCGCGACTGGTGCGACCAACATCCGCAGTGTGATCAGAGAGGAGTGGCTTGATGGAGTGATTCTCGCGTACAACGACGCGCTGACGACGAGTTTCTATGTTGGTGCTGGAACCGCGTCGGCGACGATCATTGGTGCGTTGTTGGTGGAGTGGAGGAGCGTCAAGGGTCGTGAAATTGAGATGGGAGCGGCTTAGGTAATGGTCTGGAGTGTGTTTGTCTGATAGTGATGCTTGATGTCGGTAAGGGGACGGGTAGAATAAAAGGAGGTTGTTAGGGTAGATGATAGCAGAGCGTTCTTACGAATTATGACGATTTGTTTAGTCTTTAACTGAGTTTGACTGTTGTTTACCGTTGCGTCTTGTCTGCCAAGATGTGCACTTGAACATTAAATTACCCTGCACCTATAAATATTTCCGGTCTTTATTCTCGGGATTTGTATAATCTCACAGGTCTTCTACTGCATTGTCCTTTATCCGAAATCGTATGCTTTCAGTTCGAGTCATGGTTCCTAGTCTACCTATGTTGGAGTCGTCACGGTCATGGTCATTCCCAATCTCAACTGATGTATATTGATATTCATCTACTCTGAGATTGGTTTGTAGTGCATTCATAAATGAGAGCACATAAATCCAGAAGCATCCATAGACAGATTCACAAATAAAGGGCTCTTAGTTCCTGGCAGAAAGCTTTATCTCATTTCATCATCATCAATTCAGGAATGTCGTCGCGATTAAGCTGTTTCCTTCCATTTTCAAAATGTAAGCTCTTAAGCTTAAGTGAGTGGAACCAATGAAATCTCGAGATAAATGCGGGGAGCGGCCATTCCCGCGGGATATCATGTGACGCACCACAAGCCAGCCAACGCAAATGTGGGGCGATATCGAAACTCAGATCCTCACCAAAAACAACACGAAAATGCCTCACCAGAAGAACAAACATCAAAAAGAAAAACTCAGGGCTCCACCGGGGATTGAACCCGGGACCTCGCGCATTTTCGGTTTCCCAAAGCGCGAATCATACCACTAGACCATGAAGCCGAATATTAGTTATTATCAATATAGTCGCAAAAGAACAATATGATCATGGTGTTGTAGCGAGGGAGAGTCTCCAGGCCCCGCCACCGTCTGACTGTCCACTCTCAAAAGCCTATCAACAGTTCCCACCCTCCCAGTACACGTTCTCATGCTCGTCAAGGTCACTCTTCCCTGTCTGTAATAGGACAATCTCATCATGGTATCTCAACCTCACGAAACTTGAAAGCGAGCAGCACATCATAGCAAATTGGAATAAACACATTTCTCACGTGACCAGTCCATTCTGTCCTCCCGTAAGCATACATGTTGCTCTTCTGGCATACACTTTTTGCTGTGCTGTGTGTCAGATGAGGCTTTCCGGGCTGTCGGAGCTCCCCCGCATCACCAACACCGAGTGGGGCCGTAAGAAACTGACACTCAAATAGCACGACAAGCTATTTCTTAACTAAGTTCATTATACGCAGGAATATAGAGTAAACGCGATGTATAAAACCCCCTTGTTAAAATTAGAATCTATCGACAGCCAACAGTACGCGCTCTATAATCCCTGCCTGTAGGAATGACATAACCAACATGCATATCACCCTAGCTTAGGGGAGGAAAGAAAACTCAGTACCTTGACCCTAAGCAATAAGAAAATTTAGGTAAATCTAGCCTAAACTTTAGGGACTTTTAGCTAAGTTTATTTTAATACCTTACATTAAGGTCCGGTGTTTTCTTGCCCCTGAGGCCTAGTCACCATTGTGCCAGCCAGCTCCCCTTGGAAGTCAGTTTATGCGCGCCGAGATTTACTTGCTCAAAATAGGGCGGGGAAGGATAGATGTTAAAAAGCCAAAGTGACTACGATGTCATCAAGGAGGAGCTCGACAGCTGCAAAATTGACTGCTCTAATACCCATTCTCGAGTCAGCATGGAACCTCTCTCAGCATCACCATCATCATCATAATGAGACGTGTACTCAGGCCAGCCCGCAGAGCCAGCCATACTTGCAATGTTGGTACAAGCCCACTGGATATCCACTGCTGTTTTAAGCTTGGAGACATCCTTAGATGGTAGTCTAAGCTTTATAACCCGCCCAGAGATCAGAGGGATACCATCTATGGCATTGAATGCCCCTACTATCCCATCTTGGGATGGTAGTTGAGGAGTAGGGTAACCGTTGTCCTGGAATGTACGAACTGTTTCAACCATACCCATAAAGCTGTCGTTCTCCGTGCCAATATCCATTTTTCTGGTCCGCTTGCGAATATCACGCATCATCCAGTGGAATTGTATATCAACCTCGGACATGGGGGGATTATCGCTAATAGACTGGGAGCCGAGAAACTTCAGACCAATAAGTCTATTGTCGAACCAGAAATGGAGTTGATGGTTCAAGCAAATGGCATTCCAGGGACGGTCAGAGCTCCCTTGGTTGTCTGGATCGGCGAGTAGAGGCTCGTTCATCGCCGACCAACTATCTGCGTCGCGTTTCTCTACCATCAAGGTCTCAATTGCAGGCATAAGACTTAAAGTCTTTTCGATCTGGCCAGCATCTCTATTCCAGCTGGCTGGAATTATATGGGCAACCTCTGGGTTGCTTGTTCGTAGGAAGACACAAGCGTTGCCATCACGGACGAGAACAGCCTTTTTGGTCTCCCTGGCGCGGTTCGGTTCGTCTGGCTTGTAGTCGTCATCCTTCTCGTCTTCGGTATAAGGACGCTTTTTGCTTCCTTTCTTGCTTGATGCAGATGCGGACTTCTTTGACGAAGCTTTTGTTGAAGTCTTGGCTGCGTGCCTTTTGAACTGTGTGTTGGCGTAATGGGTAAAGTCTGTTGAAAATCAGCACTGCTGGACGGCAGGATAGAGAATGTTCCAATACTTGCAATGATGTGTGAGCTTTCCCAAATTTTTGAGCATTTCCCGTAGCGCGACACGGCTCTGCGTAGTGGCAGACAAGTTGCCATTTGGTCGCAGTTGACTCAAAGGGACAGTAAGAATGATAGCCACATCTAGTGCTGTGAGGTAAAACTTCTTGTCGCCTGATTGTAACTTTTTTTGAATGGCTTCAGCATGCTCGTGACGCTCTGCCATTTCATCCAGTGGCAGTAGGGATACAGGGCTTTGGAACAGGGCATTTGCCGACAATGTTTTCTCAATCCATATGGCTCTGTTCTGTTGATCTGCTGTCTGCTCCTGTGATGTAATGGCTAGGGGAGGAAAGAAAACACAGGACCTCGATCCTAAACGACAAAAGAGATTTAGGTAATATAGCCTAAGCTTAGGATGACTTTTGCTAAGTTTATTTTGGCACCTTATAGTAAGGTTCGCTGTTTTCTTGCCCCCCGAGGAATGGTCATCGTGAAAGCTTCTGGGTAAAAGCTTATATTGAGGAAAAGAAATACCGTGTTCTTATTCGTTACCTGTGTTTGCAGCCTAAAGGTTAATCTTATAGGCCGCATTCACCCCATAGTTAGCTGTCTGCTCCTGTTCAAAGAAGTCGTTTACCAGGTTTTGAATGCGCGCCTGTCGGCGCAGATAGGGAGGATCGCTCATGCTGATGGTGTTGCTTGATCCTTGAAGTAAGAAAGGGCGACGAGTATTTCGCCCATATGTGTTTTTTTTGGTGTTCTTTACCTTTGTGGCCTTGAGGCTGAAGCCTCTTTTTGACCCCTCAACCCTATCACAGAAGAAAGAAAAAGAAATGAAAAGATATAAAGGTTCTGCCCACTGAACCCATGGAACCTGGAAGCTTTCATGCATCACGTGAAACCTTGCCTGCCCCGCAAGGTCCATATTTGGGTACAAGTAGTGATGTATTTGCGACAATCAGCGTGACAACACGTAACGATAAATTCGTGATTCTTTCCGCTGTTGTTCACTCTACGCTGCGCCATGCGGATATAAAGGGAAGTCAGTTACCATGAGTTACTATAGAGCTGCCGGACGTGCCCCTTCTCCACAAAGTCCTCCCACGATTCGAACTCAAGCCCCAGATCCCTAACAACCACTCCCTCTCACAAAAGCGTACGCAAGCAAGTCGGTTTGCGGGTACAGGTTTTCGCGTATTTGACACAATGCAGACAGTTCGCTACTAGGCCACAGTTTTTCCTGCTGTTGTCAACCAGAGGTGATCCGAGGGCGACGTGCGTCGCCTCCAAGCACTTGGGCTTGCTGCACAGGTGAGATATATGCTGATTCTCGTCGGGGTGTAAACCGCGCGACCAGGCCAAGACTTGGTGTAGCAGAGCAAGTTTGTTGGCACCCTTATGCGATACCTGGACGTAACCGTCGCTCTTGTTCCGGGCTTTGTTTGAGATATGGCAGAAGCCGTCCCGAGACGAGGCGTTGACGATCTTATCTTCAATTTTCTCCGCCGACTTAGTCGGCGACGTCTCGAACTGGCGTCGCATCGCTGATCTCGCCTGCTCGATTCGACTATCAGCGTTCGTCCAAAGTTCGAATGGCCGTTGCATTCAGGGGCGGCAGGGTTAGGGGCATCATAGAGACTCACCTCTTGTGGCTTTAACTTAACCTCCCGTCTGCGCGGGCGATTCTGGCGCTTCTTCAGGCGCCGGGATACAGGTCCGAGGAGCGAGGTACGGACCGGTGATATTTTCTTCTCCTGATCCTTGACAGTGTTTGTGGCTTCAGTGTCTACTTATAGGTATATCAGCGATGAACCTCTTTTTCAGATCAAGTCCTGAGCGTACGGACCGTATGGGATCGATGTCCTATGGATTAAATTTGTGCGTGGTGTGAATAGACGAGGATCTTGTTGCGATGAGAAAACTTGGTTTTGTTTGGTAGGCTGAGATTTGGCAAGAGCGGAGGGTCCTTACGGTAACATCCACTGACCTTCCTGGGACTTGACGATTCAAATGTCCAATCCCCACAGAGCGCTCCCATCCTGGCCAAATGTTGTTTCCTGCATAGAATGCTGAACAACAAACGTACGTCAACGGGCCTGGCTTTAGGTGTCGGCGCTGTCATAGTCTCTCTGGATGTTGGTCTCGTCTATTGTGGAAAGGCATACCCTTATTCTGCCAATCACATCTTGCATGGTACAGCGTTCGCTGCTCCTGCCGTCAGTGAAGTCGGACTCTCAGTCCTTGACACCATCTGTCTCACTGATGAAGACGGGAGTCGTCGCCCCCTCGTTATGCAAGTCTTGGCGTACCTCTTCATGGACACATACATTCAACGCGCATCCTGGTCTCCGAATACATCGACCACTGGACACGACTGTGCAGCTGAAAAGGAACCCAGTTACCCCCGTCAGTTTGAAGAAGGGAAATGGTTCACATCCCTTCGACTGTGGCGATCGTTACATGAGAGAAGTAAACATCAGAAACGGGTGGTACAACTTGGACCTGCAAGATTCTCTGGGAGATTATACATTCGAATTCAAGGATTCCATCGCACCTATGCTTCAAACAGAACCTAAAAACCGGCCAACTGCCAAAGAGATTCCGTAATAGGGTCGCTGGATGGTTCCCCTGACTCTGTCGAATCTCCTGGCCCAGGCGGCTCGTTGCTCTTTCTTTTGTTCGGCTTGACTGGCTTAGAGGTCCTGATTGAACTTATAGTCATAGTCATCAAGACTGCATCTTTATCAAAACGTAGTCTACAATGCAGACAACTCACATCACTAGAATAACTCTTTCGCTTCATTCTTTCCATCCCTATGGCTATTTTTGGAGCTGTCCGATTTGCAGGATTCATACCATTCACGCTTCGCTCTTCAGTCACCCTAGGTAAACAGTGTCTAATCAGGAACATCCATGCTAGAAGACGCCAACAAAACCCTGTCTTCTGATGCCTTGAGTAGGAGCTTTGAACCTCCTTTATCTTAGGCTCCGAGATCCGGCGCTGGTACCCTTTTTCATGCCTGGTGGTGGTAGACCAGTTACTGGATAGTCACTGAAGTTCCCGATCGAGACTTCTTGGTCAGCGTATGCTTGTTGCTACCAGTTCACACCACAGCCTCGTGCACTTTAAGTGGAGGGAATGTGGGTACATTCATGACCTTTCTCTGCCGTGTCTTCCCCTTTCATATTCGATCCTAGTGGAGGATTCATCTCAATAGGTTGGGACCATGTGTCGGCATCGTGGCTGTTCAAGATTCGTCGCCTGCGTTGTTGGCTTTGTTAGCGGGAGGTGCCCATTTGTTGGTTTGATAGGATGCTGGCTACGGGGTAGTGCCTGACATGAAGTTGTTCGGTGGGAAGTCGTTGTGAAATCGTTAGGTCGTCGCCAGTCGTCGTCGTCGTCGTTGTTGTTGTTGCTGCTGCTGCTGCTGTTGCTACCCGCTGCGTTCATCTACGACTTTTCTGGTCATCTGGTTAGGTACTAGGTAGGCATGGAGGCGCGCTCTCGACTGCAGGACTGGAGGGGGAGGGGGACTCGAATACTACCTTACTCATCTTCATCCTGATTGGAAATGGATAGGCGCACGCAGGCTTTTCCACACCGTTAATTTTAACGCTTGAGAAAAGATACTTAACACTTGACTGGACTTCTAGCATTGGCTGACTTGGAAACGTGCCTTGGACCGCTCTTACTGTACTGGTACCTCGAAAAGTCGTCGGGATTTCCCTTTGAGTCGAGCCTGCCGCTATTTCGGGTGACACCACAAACTCTTTATGAGTACAGCAACTGATCAAGGAGGTATACGACTCAGGCTTATCATTCAACCTTTTGCCATGGTATTGACGACGAAAGGTGTAACACGTGATTGCAAACGCCTACAAAGGTCTGAGTTTCTAATGCCACCAAGCTTATCAAATATTGGCAACTTTCTTACCATCAGAAGTTACCATCGAAGTCAGGTAAAAGCCAGGGAAACGCTCTTATCGACGATGTAAGGGCTGGAAAAAGTGGCAAGCCCATTATAGAAAGGTTTACGAGGCAATCAGCTTGATAGCGACCTGGATGGCAGGTTCGGAGATGGGCCACGGTTCGTGTATCAACTGGAGCATGGCGTTGGGGTATATTGGGTCTCTGTATGTGTATGGAAGGAGGGAGAGACTACACCATCTTACAACGATATTGTCACCAATCCTGAGTCCATGTACCAACAAGCTGCATATTTCAATCCCCTTTTTACGATTATAAGGTCTGGGTGTTTATTGTAAGCAACGATTTCTCAGGTCTAACAAAGCCAACACAACATGCTAGGCTTTTTGTTCCCAAAGCAACCTTTTACAAGATCTCTGCAAAAGTCTCCAACAAATCAGAGCCTCCCCGAGCTCTATCACTCTGAAGTGCGCAGCGGAAAGGAGAGGTGGTTGTGAAACTCGTCCCACTTGATAGAAAAGAAGCCCTTGAAGTTGCCCTCCCGAAGAATCTTGCAGTCCTCCTTGTGCCCGTTTTCCTTCCACCCTCGAAGCTGACACTTCTGGCCGCAGCACCAAAAGAAACCGCACTTGGCACACTTCATCAACTTCGCCGCTTTGTTGTTGCATCCGTGGCAGGTTCTCATCCCCTTGGTAAAGGTAGCGTGAGTTTGAATTTTGTCGCTGAGCTGCATCATGTTGTCGAGGGAGATCGGAAAGATCGGAAAAAGAATTAGTATGAGAAGGTGTTGAGGGAGAGCATACTAACCTTGAGGTACTGGAGGTCCTCATGTCTGATACCGATGGTCATATCCATGAAGAGATGCTTGACAGCGTAGAAGATGACGATAGTATTTCCAACTTGAAGCTTTGAGGGGCCAAGCTCTACACCACGGGATTCTGTGTAGATAGCGATCGGAATCTCCAAACCATCTCGGTCCTTGACGGTGAGTCTAACGCGGAGGTCGATATGGACCTCGACGATCTCACCGATGAAGACCCAGTGCTTGCAAGGCTCCCAGTAACCGTTGTCTCGCTGACGGTAGTACTGGGTGTCGAGGTTGTTGTCCCAGGCTAGATCTTCGAATCCTGGGAAGTGATTCTTGTCTTGCAGATTCGCGAGTTGGGTGTCGTTGGAGGCCATGATGCCCTAGTTGACAGGGGTGGCTTGATGTCACTTGTCAAGATCTTTGAGCAGACTTGAGAGAACAAGAAATGGATGGGAGGAGGTAAAGAGAGAATATTTGGAAAATGAGGGAGTGGGAACTGGGAAGAATTTATGGCAAGGCGGTGGGGAATGCTGTTTAGAACGGCTGGGTGCAGCATTTGTCGGCCCCCTGCAGTGCGACAGACAAACAAACAGTTTGGGTCTCTCTGTATATTCAATGGCTGCTGAGAAAGTAAGATCTTTGCCAATTCTGGTAGATAACCAGTTTGCTAGTCTTTGCCCGTTTGAAAGTCCATAGACATTGTGGCGTTTACACAGGGTTCTCCTCCGTTGTTTATTGCTTCATTTGGTGACAAGAATTGCTGACGTATTAGCGCAGATAATAGAGTTTCTGTATTACTAACAACAATCGCAATAAAGGAGGTGACCCTGGAAGAGATCTCTATATACCCAGTAGCCTAGGTAGTCATGCGATGTGAGCTGCCATTACACTAGAGCGGGCTTCAAATTGTGGATTATGAGATGTGTATCTTCGGTTGATATAGGATAAATAAAGACAATTCGTAACTAAGGTAGGGAAGCAGCATAATCTCACAGTGCCATCACATGGGCCTATGTTAAGTATGATTTCAAGAGTAGAGACGATAGTTATTTGAGTAGGTAATGCCTAATCACAGCTAGGAAAGCGGAATTGCACCATACACCTCTTTCAATTGGTCCCATGTAACGCTTTTGCCATAGATAAGTCCCGCCACCATCTTCCCAGCAAAGAGAGCTCCTCTGGATGAAGACATGTACTGACGATAGGTGATCTCCGCACCTTTGGAAGCCATGTATGTGGAAAGGGGCATACGATTAGACTGCCCTACAATGTCCGAGTCGGGGTTATCAAGAGGTGGCTTCCTTTCTTGCTCTCGCTCTATCTCCCTTATAAATTGCACAACCAGACTTTTAAAGTCGACCATGGGTTGATTCTCCTCATCTGACATCCCTGGAAAGGTGGCGAATTCTGGACACACAGACAACTGCTCGAGAGGAGCCGCTTGCGCACTACTCCAATCGATAATTCCAGTCAAATTGTACTCTTTGTCAAACAGCATATTGCCATAGTGTAGATCGAGATGACATAGAGGGAAAGGGCCCCGGACACTGTCCTCAATGATCATGTGGGTGAGACCTGATTTCAGTACCCAGCATGCTGTTAACCAGTCTGGGTCGTCTGGATGCAGGTCAATAGATTCCCGGTTTTCGGTTTGTTTCTGGTTGTAGAAATATTCGAACGACGTTTCCAACGGACCAGGCGAAGCATGCCAATCCATAGCTATGACTTGAACAGGTTGGTCAGCTCCATCTCCACACCAGAGTCGCCCAATGCGGCTGAAGGTTAGGTTTTGAAGTTCTGTAAAGACGTTTGCGAGCTGCTTGGCTACTTTGGGACGATGTTCGTAAGGTACAGTAGTCGCTAGACCATTGGGAAGGGAATGGCCACGATGCTCCATGAACATGTATGGGTAGCCAAAAGGTTGGTCTGTAGACATCTCAAAGCTGAAAACTCGAGGAATAGGGATGGTAGTATGTTGTTGGATTATCCTCATTGTTGCAATCTCACTGAGCAATGATGTTTTGTCGCTGTCGTTCAGTGTTTGATAAGGAATTCGAGCGACCCAGAACACGCTGTCCGAAAATGCAATTTCCAGGACAACATTGTTGAAACCGGATGCGAAATGCTTCAGGTCGACGCTACATGAAACATCCAGAGACAAGCTTGGCTGGTGCTTCCTCCGCGACTCTATCGCGCAAGTTTCCAGGTATTCGAAGTTTGCTGAAAAGAATAAGAGCTGGATTCTCTTGTATTTCTCTGAATTCGGTTTGAGACTGTCAAAACCCTGCCAGAAGCTACTTGGTCTTTCCATCTTGTCTCTTCAGCTGAAAATGGTGGCTCAGGGAAACAGCTTGCCGAATTATGCGGTTAATGAGAACTGAGAAAAATTAGAGAAAATAAGGAACGGGCGTGGAGGAAGGCCAGGAGATAGACGTTAGTATATAGCTTAGAAAGCAGGCGATCCTCAGGGAGCAAGAAAATACTAGACCTTAATATAAGGTATTAAAATAAACTTAATAAAAAGTATCCTAAATTTAGGCTAAATTTAGGCTAGTTTATCTAAATCTTTTTATCATTTAGGACTAAGGTCCTAAGTTCTCTTTCCTCCCCTAGGCGATATAAGGTGGTAATTAAATTTGTTAAGTTGGTGGAGGTAGGACTCTGGGCGGGTGCCTCGATGTTGTCATTGGCTGCCTCGACCTTCTGTAAGTGGACCCCGCGTCAATCCCCGTACCGTGTAATGTGGGAAGATGTTGCTTAATCGACCAATCAGAATGGGTCACTCTGGTGCAATATCCCACCGCGCATTGCTCTTCATACACGCTATACTCACCATCGCAGCAACTTATCTCAACTCATAGTCTATTGCTTGACTTTTGCGATGTCACTCCTACGTTTGCCCCCAGAGACTTTGAGACAGATCTTTGATCAACTAGATTCGTCTTTCTTTCAAGAGGATCTAGGCCGCCTCACAATCTGCAAGAAGTGGTTCGATTTCGCTCTTCCTGCCTGCCTCAAGTGCATCACCCTCTCTCACGGAGCCCTACGAAATCTAGCTATCTCTGCAGCAACGAAAAAGCCCTCTTCGCTCGAAAACAGCCTGGAAACACTAAGTCTCGATCTGAAAGGATATCAACAGGGCATCTCTACAAACTCTTCCGAGCAATTTGCGCAGGGGTCGACTCCACAACCTCCTTGGAATAAAGATGGTTGGGAAACCCCGGCCAAGGCGTGGGAAAAGGGCCTAAATGATGACCTTGCTCAGCTTGCCATTATCGTTCAGCAGTCTCCTAGATTACGGACATTGCGCGTACGAGCCTGGAGTTCTCCCTCGGCTTACCGCTTTCCTCTGGAGGGCTATCTTTCACTGCCTACAATGCGAGCGTTGCTCTCGGGGGAGAATCTGAGCGTTCTAGTTCTGGATCTGTCTGGCACCTCTTTGGACCCTACAGGACAGCAAGTGGACGAACATATCTGCCCATTCATTGGCGACCTTCTTCGTACTCTCCAAACACTCCATTTGCGCATGCGCAGTATCTGCCCTGATGTATTGAAAACTCAAGGATTCGATAAAAAGCTTAGATTAAGCGCTGTGGTCATCAATTTGAGTTTGGATACTCACCAGTCGGATATCACATCAGCGGCTCATTCAGTACCATGTGGCTCTCTGTTTGGCGGATTGATCCAACTGAGGGATGACATACAGAAACAGGCGGAAGTTCTTGTCACTCTCATGGAGTCCCCCAAGACCATGAGGATTCTAACTCACACCCTTCCGCAGTTTGATACACTATCGCTGGATGTTTTGACTGGCAAGATAATGAAACTGGAAGACGATGCAGCATGGGATGAGGATGGCAAAACTGTTCGGGAGGACTCGGAACCAGAGTCCGAAATTTCAGACGAGGAATTTGACGGTTTCTTCGATGATTGATGCTAACCGGATGGTCAAGTTTCAGATCAGCTTCCCATATTGGCTTGGCTTTCCATGTCTGCGGGCTGGCAATATCACCCGTCTGCCACCGAGCTTAAGTGCTTTTCTTTAGCTGATCTAGTCTATCGATCTCATCATCTAGTTAGAGATTAGACTACACAATGATGACCAGGTCTTGATTGTTGAAAATTCAACCCAAAGCTTCCCCATGCATGATCCCGTAAACATATACTCCTCTAACCAACTTGTACCGCCCGTCACCCATAGGCCGCAGTCAAGCCGTAGACAAACTTCATCACCTTGATCATGGATAGAAAACCCAAGACTAGGCATCTTTTGGCGGTTACCAGGAGATCACGACCTAAGGCGGTCGAAATTAGTGCGTCCCTGATTTCAAGCTGACGGCTATCCAAGACAAATAACCTGTGTACACGAATTTCAAGATTGACCCTGTGAGACAGAAACCCCGGAACACTGATTCAGTAACTCCCTTTTCTTGTGCTGAAAGAATCACGTACCTCGTTCATGCGAAAGCTTTGGGATTCTCCGTGTCGGTTGCCGCATGTAGTAGTATGCCTTTGAGAATCAGCAGATTGGTTAATTCTTCCATGATGTCGTCCGTTTCAACTTTCTGTTCTTCCAATCGCATCGACCCAGGGTCTCGTGAGATAGCAGGCGAGCCATATTTATAAACAAAGTATATTCCTTTTTTTTTTTAATTTTTTTTTATGGAAACATTCCTACCGCAAATTTCTTTGGCAGGATGACGCCAATTACAAATGTTCCCCATCATTGACCTCCGGAGTACCTCTGCTCTAGACTGATAGCGAATTCCTTACTCCGAGTCCGCTGGGTCACCACAAGGATAATAATAACATCTGATAAAGGTGGTCCAACCACCGAACGTTCTGGCATCAATGCCATCAGTTCAACAATATCGTTTGTCGAGATCTTCAATGGCGATACCTGAAATGAAGCAACCTCTGGATCGTATTGATACATTTGGTCGTGAACTACCAGAAATTTCCAAAGAACGATTTTATTAACCTGATTCCAATGATGTTCTATATAATTTTATGGTAAATATTTGATATAATTTGTAAAAGCTCGAGGGCCGACTGTCCACATCCTCCCCCTCCAGACTAGAGAATTACAAACAATTGGGGCACTCAAGTCCGGCATTCATGACGGCAGAGACTTGACTGATTAGTAAATATCACTACATCTGACTCTGGATGATGTCCACATTCGCATAAAGCTCTTGATACTGATCAGAATGCTGTAAGTAAATGACAGAAACCTTACACTAGCGTCATCTGTCAAGCAAGATGAGCGGCTATGACGATTGGCTGCCGGATGTGGAGCCTCCCCACTTTACTACCAGTAAGCTAGACTATAGAAGGCCATGGAAGGAAACGCTAAGCATAGTTTACCCCGCTTTCCTAACTACCTTATCCTTCTCACGCCAAAAATACTTGAGTTCTGCTCACTTTTTTCGATAGCGGCGACACGAGTCATGCTATGGTGTCGTCAGAGAGACCCTGACTTTTCTGCCATCTATAGTCATGAGTTCTCCATCACGGTCCTACCGAGACCGCTTAGAGGAACTCCGAGTTAGTGATGAGAAAAGGCGGGACCTGATTGAGGTAAGTCTAGTGCTCACTGTTTGTAGGCTTATCATGACATCACAGCTCTAACCTGACATGCACAGGAGCTCATTGACAAACTCGAAAACAGCAATGCAAAGCTAGAACAGGCGGAGTTAGATCTTCAGTCTGAGCAGGATGCTCGAAGGCGACTTCAGCAGGACTTACTTGCCCTCCAAAGCAGAGCCAGGACCATAGTGAGCGAAGAATTGAATCCAGATACAATCGCAATCTGTACTAAGTGATATCCCCTCAAGGAGAGACGGTCGTTTGCGGTCGTGCTGATTGATGCGGATGCGGACGGCTACACGGTAGGTACTGATCTGAACCAGTGCGAGTTTTGCGCAGTACTGACCTAGAGCATGCATAGTTTCAGGATAGATTTATCAAAGGGGCATCTGCAGGAGGTGAGGGGGCAGCTGAAGAGCTGTTCGCAGCTACACGCAAGTATCTACGGACCATCCTGGATGATTCTGAGAGACTTGATGTGGTTGTCAAAGCATTTGCTCACTTAGACGGTTTAGGCTCAAAACTCGCTCGAGACGGGCGAGTAAGAGACATGGCCCAGTTAAGGGCTTTTTTCGCAGGCTTTAGTAGCCGTTTGCCCCTGTTTGATTTTATCGATGTGGGGTCTGGTAAGGAGAGAGCGGACAATAAGATTCGAGGTACAAAGCACACCGGCCCTCAATACCCAATAGAGAAAGTACTAAAAAGTTAGCAGAGTATTTGAAGTTTTATGCAGAAATACCGCAATGCAAGCATATTATGCTTGCTTGCTGTCATGATTCAGGCTATGCCCCATTTTTGGGACAGTTTGTTGCGGATAAATCAATTGAGGAACGCATAACACTGCTTGTCGGTAGCCCTGCTACGCCGCGGATAAAGCAACTTGGATTCAAGCGTGTCACTCATTTCCGTAGTGTATTCACGTCCGCTGTCTCTCAGGAAGGATCGAATACGCCCGTACAAAGTGCTCAGGCATATTCCTTACCCATCCCTGCTCGTCAGTTCGAAAAACTTGGACCAATAATGGCAAAGAACGGGAGGCGTGTAGATTCGCCTCTAAGTGTTGAACAGCAGCTGGCTGAGAGGGTGAAGCGACTCGGGCTTTGTAGCTGGCTTTTTTTGCGAGGAGAATGCAGGGGATGCCATAGAAACCATCAGCACCCGGTTTTGAGTGACGAGGAATTTGATGCTCTGTGGTATATTTCCCGTCAGGGTCGGTGTTATAAGGATCAGCGTGATGGCTGTTTGGATCCGAAATGTATATATGGCCACGGTTCGGCAACCAGTGGCTAGTTGAGATGGTTTCACAAGCTTGATAAGTAGATGTTGCGCTTGTTGAACCGTATTTTTAGCAGGCGATTAGGAGCTGACAGCGGCGAGCTTTTGCTTCCTTGAGAGCAACTTTAACTCTAGATTACCAAACCAGAGAGAGAAAGGGGTTTTGTATTGTAACGGTCGTTTGCCGTTATGTGTTTTTGTTTTCTCTTGTTTGGCTCTAACCAACAATTATGTCTAAGTTATGAGCTAGACGTGTTATTCACAGTTGAGACTTGTGGCAGAGAGCTTATTCCGGCAGACAGAACTTAGAACTTAGAACAAGTGATAGCCCGGAATAAGTCTAAGTCATCTTTTATACTGGAGAGACGGTCTATTTTCAGAAGACGAATAGACGTGGGCATTGGAAGTCTGTCGTATTCCAGTGAAGGTAGATACGTGGTATATGTAGGTATATTTGGCGGCTCAATGAGGTCTATTTGAAGAGACGACATGGTTGATGATAATCTGTTGAAGAGAGTCGTGGATGCGAGGAGATTGAGGAGAGGCTACTGCATTATATAGTTGACAAGACGGCTGCCTGAGAAAGTTAACGATGAATCCGGACGAATTCAAGAGTCACAGAAGACAACATAAGGCGTTGGCTTGAGGGCTTTCCCCTTGGTGTTTGGTGCAGAACTAGATACTACGAAGTGACTGGCCAGTTGGCAAAATAGTTACTAGCAAGCCTGACCATTTGATCATAAATAATTTGTCAAAGGAGACATGAAGGAGTACATGGGCATATTGACTCTTCTAAATATCATTTCTTTACCTTGGAGTTGGGGCTCAAGCTTTATTTGAACTCTTGACCTTGCCATGGCCCATAGTTGCTTACTCAAAGCTTTTGAAACTCGTAATCGCCCAGTAAGTATACATTTTGCGCAACAAGGTTTGTTTGAGACGGTGGGATTTGTTATGCAAAGTAAAGAATGCACTTTCTCAGTTTGGTGATCAGGACTTAGTGGTGAGTACTCATAGGAGCAAACCCGCAACATAAGATAACGACATTTGCATCAAGGTAAACTGGGAACCTGTTTCTTGTTCAAACAGGATTATTAACAGCAAATCAGTAAAAAGATCAACGCGCATTAATTGACAAGTGATCTAAGTAAATCTGTCCTGCGTGACACACTCGTTGCCATGAATGGCTGAGAAAAAGGGAATATTTCCCTACAGTGATTGCTTGACTCTATTGGATGTATGCTATAAGTTAATAAAAAGCGGTTGGACTTATGCACTGACATATTACAAGCAAGCAGATTTTCTTAATACCCGGGACTCCATCAATACGACGACAAGAAATGGAAGCAAAAGCAATGCGTTGCCCAATCCCGCGCCTAGATACTAGAATTATCTTCGTCTATAATCAACGCTTTGACAACTATCTTTGCTTATTATCCATCCCAGTCTCATTCACTGCAACGTCAACGGCAACGGCGGCAAACCCGCTTGAATACGAACCCTAGTGAATTTTCGGATTCACCCCCTTGTCGCAAGTAAAAGGGGCGCGGCAGCTAAACCCAAAACCGATTGGACCATGTTTGGGCGGGATAGATTCTTTCGAGATACGCTGTCGCCGATCGAATAGCATTCCCGTTTCATAACGAGGCTGCAGTTACATTGCGAGATGCGACGTATTGAGTCAGAACAAAGGGGCTTGTTGCTTTTATAGGAGCGTGTGACGGTAGAAGCGAGTTGGAGTCTGAAAGAGGAGTAGTTGGAGTCTTATCCCTGTATTCTCCGACGGAGAGTTTAACTGCCTATAGAATTGGAGACGATGCGAGAATTTGCCGACGTTACGAGTCAAACTCTATCTGCTGGATATGTTTCATCGTTGTGCTATTCGAGTCAGTGTCTAGTTTCGCTGACATCTTATCCAAGAGTCATTCTGCACCCGTTTACGGTCATATTATCTCCAGACTTTACATCTGTTTAACACCTCTAATAACCAGGCTAGACCGAAGGCATCGAATCCATGACATATTGACATATCCAAATTACCTATTACAAAAATTAAGCAAGGCTGTTCTGGATTCACCAAGTCCAAGCTCTGCCCTAATGTTTCGAGTCCAAGAAATATGCATTCATAACAAGGAGATCCCTAAACCCCCGAAGCGAACCGCTCTCCCCGTCTCCATAAAAGCCCACAACGTTCATTTCAAGACTCCATTTTCCCAAACTCTAATTCAAATACCGATGAAAGGCAAGACACATCCTTTCGGAGGGATTGTCTCTGTTTGAAGATGATCGTCGATATAGAATTAGTCCGATTGGTTCGTCAGAAATAGCAGCTGTAGATCTAGTCTCGTTCATGACTCGTAGTGCCCGTCGGGTTTCAGCGGACCAACGGTAGATGCGCAAATTAAAAGCAAAGCAGCCTTGTTTAGGTAGTTTGAGCTGACGACACCCAATGTGGAGTAGTGAAAGATGTACAGAGTTCGGATGCCGTTGAATTGCACAGACAATGATCGTAGTGGCTGTTGTTAGTTCTCGTAGATGTCATGCCATCTCAAACTTCTATACATATTCTCGAACAGTATCTTCATTATTATAATATTCTATCTTCATATTATCATCCTCGTATTCTCCACGATGCAACCGGATGCCCCATCTTCCGTAAGGCCCTCCCAGATCAATCCTTGGAGAAGCCCAACTAGTGCCAGGGGTATTCATATACAATCTCACCACTCGGGGAACAAATAGCCCACAAAAAGATCGGCACTGAAGAAATCCCAAATCCCGTATCCTTGAAAAAAAAAACAGGGCAAGGAAATGCCGTTCACCGCTGGCAACCGATGACTCGTGTGCTCAGCTGCTGCCCAGTTATATAGGTAGCGAATGATAGCATGTCATATGCCGATACTTAGTATAACGCCGGCCGTTGGATCTGCATAGAACATATCTCGCCCTAGTTAGGTCTTATCTCACAGGTCTAGTTCATAACGGTCCAAAACATCTGTGGATTCACTAATGCACGTACATGGCGATCCTGGATCCACGATTTGCCGCGGGAGCAGAGGCCGTATATCATAGCACGATCCCCTCAGCGGGCGGTTCGCTAATCTATTTGATGCGCCTCTTTTATTTCTCTTCTATTGTCTTTTGGCTTCTGAATCTTGACGACAGAAGTTGTGAAAAGACTTGCCCATTACAAGATGGAGACGACACCGAGGGAGTCGAAGCAGATTGATTTATGGATTTCTGAATTTGTCACGTTTGGGGCTGCGACGGTTTTTATCGGGTTACGGTTGTTGAGTCGACGACTTACGAGGGTTGAGTTCTGGTGGGATGATTGGTTTGCGATTGGTTGCTATGTAAGTTTGCGCCTCTACCTAACATTGACTTTGGGAATTATACTAACTTGTACAAGTGTGTAGCGATTGCCTGGGTGGTGATCATTCCTATCTGTACGTGCCATTCACGATATTCGATACGACCGAATCTAACTCGACCAGGGATCAAAGATGCCGGACTTGGACTTCACATCAACGACATTCATGGCCGCGGGACCAAGGCGGAGATATTGATGCACAACAGTCTTATTCTCTACGTCGCCGAATTGTTCTACGCCACCGCTCTCTTCTGCGCGAAAGGATCGATCTTGAGTTTCTACTGGCGCATGTTCCGAGTCACCAACATCAAGCTTCCCATTCAGATCTTGGCATGCTGTTCACTGATATGGATTATCATCCGAGTGAGTGTACCTGTAGCATAATGTCCTTGGTTGGAGACTAAAAATAATAGACATTCATGGGCATCTTTCATTGCATCCCCGTGCAGCGCTTCTGGGATCCCTCTGCTGGAGGCTCTTGCGCCATTGAGGACAAGAAGTTCTTTTTCGGTACTATTCTGGTCCACGTTATGCTCGATATCGCAATCATCGCCCTCCCGATTCTCCAGATTCGCAAGCTACAGCTACCTGTCTTTCAGAAGATCGGTATTATGCTCATGTTTGTGTTTGGCATTGTGTAAGTTACAGCACTACCACGCCGTGGTATTTACTAACTCTTGCAGAATTTGCGCTTCAGCTATGGTTATCATCGTGGCCTCAACACAGTTTGATGCCACGTCGGAGGACCTAACCTGGAACTTGGTCACCATTGTCGTCTGGGCTTCAGTTGAAGTGAACCTCGTCACTGTATCAAGTATGTATCAAAGTATTATCACTGGAATATTACTAACCGTACTCAGCCTGCCTGCCTACCGTCCGCCCCGCGATCCTGTATCTTTTCACCTGCACCAACCCGACATCGACCATCGGTTCCGGTTCAAACAGCTACGGACCCAGCTACGGCCGCAGTCAGACCAAGAACACGATTAGACTGTCAACTCTTCCCAACAACAAAGACAACGACGAGTCAAGCTCGACTCATCAACTCGCCGATTCCGATCAAGGTGGCCGCGGTTCCTTGTCCGACTTTGAGAGTCACGCTATGGATCGGTACCGCGGAAACGTTTCGACCGTCACTGGCCGTGCCCATGATCATGGTTCGGAGGAATTCAACACTGGTTCGCCATTTGGTGGAATCATGGTCAAGAACGAGACGACCGTTCGTATTTCGACGGCCAGGCAATAATAATGATAGCCAGAGGCAAGGTACATGGGGAGTGAAGGGTACATAGGCAACGGGATAACCAATTCGGACTCGGTGTATAAACGAGAAAACCGGCTCAACAGTCACGAAGCTAGAATATGTCTCAGTAGAACTTGATAGATTTTGTATCATTAAAATATCACCTTTTTATTATCAACCTATTTCTTTATCTCATTTTAAACGTCTTTCAACTTCTCTTATCCGAAGCTGTTCTGTGACCCGAAGCTATCGGGTTTCGGGTTCGCGTTTGACCTCCGGGTTGCCCAAAGCCGAACCCCAGCAGCTCCAGCAGTTAGTTAGAACAGATACCTCTAATACATAGGATTATTTACCCCAGAATGTATTGAGACCTAACCCCAGATTCCATTGCCGCTTATAATTGCCGTTGTTGCCCCGCAAGTACCTTTCTGAAGGAGCCCTGATCCGAACGCTCAGTATAAAGACCGTCCTCCGGGCCCACCCACTGGATGCGAATCACAGTCAAGACTACAACTCAGTTTCCCTGTGACAAACTTGAGACGTTAAAGAGGCTTCATTCCCATGGCACAAAAAGAACGCCAATAACCACATACGGGCAATATACTCCTTGCCCTCACTGTTGCCTAACATCTTACTCTTGACTCCGTTTCACGCACTCTATTAGACTACAAAAACATGGTCTTCACACCTCCATCATGGGTGCCGAAGCTCCCAATTGGTATGAACTACTGGTCACTCTGCAGAAACAGCGCTCATTCTTGCAGACCCTCCCGACTCTATTTCGCTTCACGAGTTCATGAAAAGCGAGGCCTACGGTCGGCTTCCAATCGCCAAATCAAGAAACCCATTTACTTGCGGTATCACGGGGAGAACATATTCCGTGGTAGAGGCCCATCAGCGCGCCGACTTCCTCGCCCGTGCGCTCGCCAAAAGACTCGACTTTTCACCCAACGAGGGTGTTGAATGGGACAAGGTCGTTTCCATCTTTTCTGTCAATACTGTAGGTCAGAAGCGCTTTTCTTGTCAACGAGTTGACTGATGATTTGCAGATCGATAGCTTCGCAGTTACTCAAGCTGTACACCGACTGAACGGCATTATTACACCCGCGAGCGCTGCGCACACTGCTTCGGACTTGGAGCATCAACTGCGCTCATCTGGGGTCAAAGCGCTCTTCACGTGCGCTAGCCGTCTGGATATCGCCATCAAGGCAGCCAAGGCCGTGGGTATTCCTCAAGATCGCATATTCATTCTAGCTACGCCAGGCGACAACTCAAAACTGCCGTTCACAACATTTGATGATCTTGTGAAAGAGGGCGCAACCCTCCCGAAGTTGGAACCGCTGAAATGGGTCAAGGGTCAAGGTGCGAGGCAAGTCGCCTTTCTCTGCTACTCCAGCGGCACGTCTGGTCTTCCTGTAAGTGTATGATGCTGTTGCGATGTGTTCACTTACTCACAGATGGCAGAAAGCAGTCATGATCTCCCATAGAAACATCATCGCCAACGTTCTTCAACTCACCACATACGAGAGCGTTTCCCGCCAGAAGGATGGAATTGAGACGCAAGCGTGCCTCGGTGCTCTTCCCTTTAGCCATATCTATGGACTCCTCATCATTTCCTTTGCTAGTACTTTCCGAGGTGACGAAGTTGTGGTTCTGCCAGAGTTTGACTTGGAGAAGGCTTTGGTTGCAGTCCAGACATACAAGATTGCTCATATGTTTGTCGTAAGTTGTCATCTTGGTCATGCAGAACAAACTCTGACGGCTACAGGTCCCGCCGATTATTATCCGCATCATTCACAACAAAGCCCTGTGTTCGAAGTATGACTTGAGCTCCGTCCGCTGGCTGTACACAGGCGCGGCCCCTTTAGGCTCTGAGGTAGTTGAGGAGGTAAAACGACAGTACCCGAAGTGGCGCGTAGGACAAGGATATGGTATTCCATCGAAATCTCAACTTTACTCATAGATTATGCTAACTTGTGTAGGCTTGACCGAAACTTGTACAGTTGTATGTACCACGAGCGAAGACGACATCGACATAGGATCCTCGGGCTCTTTGGTGCCCTCAACCAAAGCCATGATTATAAATATCGAGACGGGCGAAGAGATCACGGAGTACAACAAGCCGGGCGAGCTCCTGGTACAGACCCCCTCGTTGGTCCTGGGCTACATGAACAACGAACGGGCTACATCCGAGACATTCATCTGGAGGAAGGACGGCCGCTGGATCCGAACTGGCGATGAAGTTCTCATTCGGCTAGCACCCTCTGGGAATGAGCATCTTGTGGTTGTGGATAGACTTAAGGAGCTTATCAAAGTCAATGTACGTTCACCATTGCCCCTTTCTCAAATGGGAGATTTGGAACAGCAACTAATTTGTATCCAGGGCCATCAAGTTGCCCCCGCAGAGCTCGAAGCCCATCTCCTTTCACACCCATACGTCTCAGACTGCGCTGTCATCCAAACACCCAACGACAAGGCCGGCGAGGTACCCAAGGCATACATCGTCAAATCGGATGCCTGTGGCGGACAATCTGACGATGTTGTTGCTCGCGCAATCTGCAAACATGTTGAAGATCACAAGCAGAGATACAAATGGCTTGGAGGTGGTGTCGAGTTTATCGAGACAATCCCTAAGAGCCCCAGTGGCAAGATTTTGAGAAGGCTGCTGAGAGATCAAGAGAAGGAAGCAAGGAAGAGCTTGGTGGCTAAGCTTTAGCTGGGAGTTCACGTCGACTGACTGGAGTCTGGATGGCAAGACATAATATCTCAAGCTACTCTGATCCAATAAGCCGTCAGTAGAAAGACATTAAGAAAATAAGAATCAAACAAAGTAAATTTCAGAATGGACTTGATTGCATTAACCGCAGAAGCACAGGCAGTATCCATCCATGTTAGTATATCTGCTATAAATGCAAAAAGTAAATCCCCGGTACAAGATTCGAACTCGTGACCTTTGTCTTTGCCTCGACGCTCCGCGACATTCCGCAGGAGTTAGTCGGGGACTGCACCACAGAGGGCGACAGTAGGCAAAGACAATGTACTAACCACTGCACCAACCGGGGTTTCTTGATGGCGGTTGTGAAGCATACCCTGACTTATGTATGGCCACGTACACTTGTGCATTTAGCGCTTTGTGAGTGTGCCTATTCAACTGTGATATGGCACATGCGATTTTACACCAAACTCTTCACACACGTTGAAAGGTACGCTTGAACTATTGTCAAACGCATAACATCATACCTTTTCGAGATATCGAGTAACTAATTCTGCATCGAATTATGATTTAGCAGTAAGAAAAGACAAAGAGAATGATATCAATCCACTATCCCCAATCCATAGATCCTTATTTGAGAAATTTTGGTCCACTAAACACAACACTTACACACCGAAACGCGTTCTTGAATGATTTCTTCATCAAGGAATTTCTGTCACTTCTATGGATCACTGAGCTGAGAAGAAGATGGACCGCAGGCGCCCACACTTGAACAATTCTGGGAGCGACCGCTGTGTATGACTTTACCGAAATGATCGGTGGAGATTGGCCAGAACGATACCCAGGTTGATTCCACAATTTGTTTCCACAACAAGACGAGCTGAGGCATGTGTTGGTGAGTATCGTTGACGTTTATGGAGGGAGTATTTGACTTGTGTGGAAAGGTTTATGAAGCCCTGAATCATCGCCAAAACTAGCCTGGATTGATGAGTTGTCTTATTGACGTTGAGGGGTTGTGACTCTCAGGGCTCTTTAGAATAACGAGGCTGAGTTGAGTTGATGGGATGTAGTCGGTTGTTGTGGACCTGAGTAGGCCTCCGTCCTATCACCATCAGCAAGACCCATAAATTTGACATCTCAGGACAACCTCACCTCTTGGACCTCTTCACGAGAAGATTTTGATTTCGATTCTTTCTCTCATTAGAGATACTCGAAAAATAGAGAGCGATGATTATTGGGCTTTGGACAGGGGAAGAGTTCTGGTCTGGGCTTCGGAGCAAGAAAACATTATTTGCTGTATTGAACCTGGGGGTCTGAGACGCTCAACCAACGGTCTGCTGTGGTTTTGCAACAGGTCTCACATCGCTCCTCAAGTATATCTGAGCTCTATGAAACATACCATCACTATCCAATTCACCGAGGTTACAAAGCTCGATTCCTTTCAGCGATACAGCGCCAGATGCGATCAGGACAAAGGGTGTGTTCAAAGTCGCCCATGTCTGGCTCAAAGCAATTACGTGAGCGTGAACCTGAACATGTGCTGGCATTGGTATTTGATGGTCCAGTATGTCTCGTTGCCACTGGTAAATTATCTGTTCCAGATTTCCACCGAAGGGGCACCGTGTCGCGTGCGACAACAAGGCGTAGTCAAAAGCTACAACGCTTAGCATTTAGAGCAAAACCAGCGATACTGGTGCTTGAGAATTGCAAACTGTCCAGTTATTCTCGGTCAATGGAAAGCAGAGCTATAAAGAGAAGCGATGATGGAGTGCGAAACATGATATTGTGTGTGAGGTCTAATGTGGTAATATATAGAATAAGAAAACATATTACAAACTACCACAATACAGCTGACGTTGGCATGATTTACAGAGAGGTGCAATATCTATCGCAATAAGAAAAAACCACCTTTGGTCGGCCCAAAACGGCACTGTCACGAAGTTGATGCATTGTAAAATCCAAAAATTTTGGTCAGGAATGGTCTCGCCCTCGTCAGGGGTCATTGGCTGGGCTCGAACGGTGTAGCCATCGTAAGATGACCACCTTTCTCATAGGGTTGGGTATATGTCCACCTGACCACATCCCAGTTTCTTGTCGTGTCCCATTTGCTTAGAGGTGTTTTACTTGGGGCTATATACCTACCTTACGCCGCTGTGTCACTGACCGCGGAACATCGATGCTCTTGGCACTGGCAGGCAGTGCTTCCCGCACCGCTGCTCAACCACACCGCAGAGATATGGCACTGCGATTTTATGATAGTGGAAGCACAGTGGGGCACCACAGCGGCTTATTACCACCCTCCTTCGTCAGAGGAAGAGTTAGTCAATGAAGATTCAATATGCAAGGAGACTTTGGTAGCATGCTTATATTCTTTTCAAAGTGTAAGTCAAGGAATGATGATGCACGAGCGGGAGAGTGATGAACACGTTTTGATGACTTGTATGATATGCTTAAATAATGAAATAACCACACTGGGAATAGAAGAGATCCTTCTAAGACTTGTTTTTCATGAGAGAGCAACACTACTGTACAATATTAAAGTTTCTCGAGAACCATTACCGTCGAATACCCGTTGTCAAGTTGCCATGATGCAATTTTGGCTGGTCTTCCACCTGTCCCACGGTCCAAGTCGGACTACAAAACTTCATTAAACTTCAACCTCCACTTCCTCCTTAGCAAGATGTTCCTTTTCCAGTTCCAGCAGGTGAAAAACCTGACTAGGAGTGCAGTGATGTTTGACAAGATCACGAAGACTTTCTGGCACACCGCCTTGCTGTCGAACGCAGATCATCCAAACATCCTTGTAACGACTGTAGGTGTCGAAGTACTCTTGTGTTTGTCTCACATCGGCGATGGCCTCCTTCACAGCGTGTTTGATGTTTTTCTCCAGGTTGAATCTGAGCAATTCTTCAACATCGACGTATTGGTCTGTGGCCTGGGACTGATCCGGATTCTTAAGAATTTCTCGTCTGATTCGTTTGACTGTAGCCCTGTCTGGAGTTGCGAGTCTCTTTCCGAGACTATTCATCTGTCGAGTGTAATCGTGTAATGTGATGGTAGTGTTTTCCATCTCATCGTCTTCGTTAAGAGAGATGGGGCTGTTCGGGATGTCGTCAGGCTCAACGGATAGAAGAGGCCTATCATGCGGCTCAAGTTTTGGATACACTGGGCTAGGCGTCTTGTACGTTGAGTCAAGAACTTGGCGAAGAATGTCCTCAAATCTGTTCACCTGGGGCATTTTGGTTGTGACCACCCAACAAGTGTTACCACCCAATTGTTCGAGTTTCGCCACAGGCTTCTGGCAGGCTTCGTCCAGTTCGATAAGGAATACACGCGAGCCGACCTCGGCGAATACTTGAATAGCAACTGATAGCCACTGGATTACGTTGAGCTCGCCGAACACTTTGACCAAATCTTCGTTCTTTTGAAAGAACTCTTCACTGTCAGGCTGAAGCCTTCGATAGGCTACTGCGGCAATTAGACAGCCCATGACGTGTGCTGGCGGACAGACAATCTTGCCAGTCTGTGTATGCAATCTCATGACTTTGAGCAAACTTTGTCGAATGAAGCCCATGTCTTCGTAATCGTCAAGTTTTGTAGGATAAAGTAGCCCAGTATGGTCGATTCGTTCGATCATGGCACTAGTATACGCTGACGCCTCGCTTTGCTGAATTCCCACCGAGTGGCAGATATCAACGGTGATATCTGTATAGAGGCGGCGTATCTGAGCCCGGTGAAAATGATGGAGGGGAAAATTTTTGCAGACGTCAACCCCAACACGATGAATATCTATTTTGTTATCTCTGGTGATCAGAGCAAGTGCCTCTGCCTTTTCATCCATTATAGGCGACGTTGCGACCTGACGGGGGGCCTACAAGTTGTTGGCTGCAGAGGGATCCTTGAGCGGTTAGCAATATAGGGGTAACCGGTCAGATAAAAAGGTACTCACAGTATCACAATACCAGATTTTAACGTTTTTGATATTTGCGAGAGGAGAAAGAGAAAATCATGAAATGTGTGTGAGGCTGAAGTAGGCCCGTGATTAACGGATAGAAGTGGGGCTAGATTCGAGTGTGACAAGAAACTCAGACCTTGGGCAGGGAGCAATAAACGTTTTGACTGTAGAATAAGGTACTAAAGAAGTCTAAGGTGATCCTAAGGTCTTACAAGTGTATCTGAAATTTTCAAAACTTTAGCAAACTTTAGCAAACTTTGCCCAGCTTACACAAGTTTAGATGCATCCAGGATCGAGGTTAGAAGTATTGTCTCTGGCAATAAAAGGCCTTCTCTTGAGCGTTGATGTCACCCATGTTGTCGCTAGGATTAACTAAGGCTCCTGACATTGGAGTGAAAATGTGACGTAAGAAAAGTTCTATGCAGTATCTGGTTTCATAATTTTCTTCTTACCCATTAACAAGCTGAATGACAATAGTAGTCGACTCATACAGGGAATTGTTCCCACCCCCTGAGTTGGTTCTCGGAAGCCAACTTGGAAGCACTGAACAGAGAAGCTCTAATATCACTACTCATGGATTACTCGATATTGAGGATGGAATTGACAAATGTTGTCTGAGTGGCCCCGTTCAAGAAGACTATTTAAACTAGCTTCCAAACCCAATAAGTGCAGTTGTCAGCAAGGCTTACTCAAAACCTAAGAAGCCTGTCCAGTTAAAACTGACCCTAAGAGACTTTTGGTATTAAGAACTCCAGTCTCTGTCTAATATACACTTTCTTGTGTTTAAAGGACTCCAACTGATATCTGTGGGTAGCAGCGTTTGCCAGCTGTCTGACAGCTCCTAGCAGTGAATCACTTGCCCAATGCACCAGCAGCCTTCGCTCAGGTATGGAGGAGGCGCAGAAGGATTCTATACATGCCCTTCTTCTGCTCTTTTTGTTTCTTCTCCAAATCCTCAAACCAACAAGATCGCCATCATCATGCTCACGAGGAAGCCGGTTTTGGCTCCCAAGTCTAATCTCCCTCCTACTCTAAAGGTGCCATGCGTTCTTCAGGTCAATGGTAACCCTTTTGGCGGCAAGAGCCTCGGCATCACCACAAGTATAGCCGCCTCGCTGCTCGCGCTGAGATCTCCTGACAAAGAATCATTCCTTGGCTTTATCATCGAATTCCCACTACCCGCTGATAGGATTGGTTTCGGACAGTGTCATCACAGTGAGCTCTTACGACCGGTGTATTCGATCCGGCATCTGCTAACAACCTTTACCAGTTGACTTTTCTACTCGGAAGTCCAGTCCTAGCAATACTTGGGAACTCACCGTGAAGTTCCCCCGTGATGATATTAATATCAACTACCGGGCTGCAAGTGACGAAGAAACCGCCAGATACCCCGCTGGTAAGAAGCATATGACTTGGGTTGACGTCTTCCTTGGCAACAACGCACCAGTCTCTGTCCAAGGATTTGGTATGCCGTACTCGAACCCAGGTCACCCGGCTGAAGATTGGCTGCGGTATACTGCCTCGACAACCGTTATTGGCGGCCTATCCCTTCTTGATATCATCCAACAGCGACACTTTTCGTTCCTCGCTGCTCAACCTGAAAAGACCATGATGGCGAGGTGGAGCGTCGCCAGCTTAGCACCCAAGTTCAACTACGGCTATGGTATAGACCAATCATGGAACATGGACAGATACATGAAGCAGCTCCATGACGTCAAAGGTCACCGCTTCCAGACTACATGGAACTTTGGAACCGACGCCTCCCATGTGACTGCTTTGACACAGAGCATAGTCCAAGATTTCATGTGGATTCAGAAATACTGTCTCGACATGACTACTGAAATGGGCTCTGCGTACTTCGTCAAGCATCCAGCAAGCCGGAAGTCGGGACGATGGTTGGTCATCGTCAAGATGGACCAAGACTTTTGGAAGCACACAGAATGGTCTCAAGCATGTATACACGGCACCATGAAGCTGGTAGTCCATCCTGGGTCTGATGAATTGCCTAAGTCGTGGACGGAAGACCTTTCCGAACGATATTCAGCCCGAATCTGCCACGATCACGATGAAGTCAGATTGCTCAACCGACATCGACTCACTGAGAACGACTTTGTTATCAGGGTCATCGAGCCGCTTCATACTCAACTGGGTATCAAGGAGTTTGAGAGCCGCGAGGAGGCCAACGTTGCCTATGATACCGACAAATCGCTTTAGAATCGCGTTTCGTTCGAATGGGACCTACAACTTCATGAAGCCAAGCGACAGGTCGACGCTGTTTGCGACCTCTTGACATCGGCCGCCCCAAATCACCTCTTCTGTGATCAACGCCATGAAGATTCAGAGCTTAGTGCCGGAAACAAGGCATTGATGATGAGCCTTCACAGAGATCTCCTACGTGGCGATGGCTTCTGGCAGACAATGATGTCCGCAACCTCGGCCGTGGATGAGATGGCAGGCAACATGAGAGCCCCGAATACTGGTGGCCAAGGTCAAGGATTGATTTTGCCTATGCTCCCGTCTGTCAATTTCCTCAAAGATAATGGTAGAAGCGGTTGGGCTGATGCTCTATTGTCCGAGATCGCTGAGGCCGACCAATGTCCGCTTCGGTACTACCTCAGCAACCGTCCTCTAGGCTTTGGTATTATCACGACTGTAAGCATCTGAACCTGTAATTCATATTGTTTCCATACTGACGAGAGGTATAGGGCCCCAACAGCAACGACACCCCCGTCTTTCCCGCGGCGGTCCTCGCGATGCACGCAACCGTGGGTACTGTCATGGCGAGTGGGCCGACCCCTGCTGCCGTGAATAAGTTCGCTTTTGACCTACATACTGTCTCTCACAATAGTGTATGCAAGTACAACATTGGAAGGACCCAGGAAACCCGTAGCCGGGCTGCTCTGGTCATTCGCGCCTTTCAACTTCAGGTTGAATGCGATGCCTTCAAGAGTTTACTTCGATTCCCTCACCTTGGTGATGAAGCGGCCAGTGATGATGAGTGGGGTGTGAAGTTGGATTGGAATTTTCATCTCTCAGCCTCGTATTGGCTTCTTCTCTGCCTTGGTTCCGAATATCTGCCACCCCTGCAGAAGGACGACAGCAATATTCTACACGAGTTCAAGACATTACTTGCAAGGTCGGACAATCTTGCTCGTCTCCGTGAGCGGGTTTCTGGCAAGGTCTCATGGGAAGAGTACGTGGCCGGCGAAACAGTTGCAGACTCTGAAATCATGAGAATGATGAAGATGCTCATCGAGGTCGCCGACATTGTGTGTACCACCCCATCCCTAGCCCACACCGAGGATCATCTCAGAAAATGGAAGGTAGAGCGGGCTCGTGGCATCGCTATTGACGAAGCTGGTCGCATGAGCCGTGGGGATCTATATTCCATCTGGGGAAATACACTCTTGCCCTGCCTTCTTGCCGGCAATGAAGAGTTTATCCCGCTAGAGGTGAAGAGCCACCATGACAGAGATGACGACGGCAATACGCGGAATAGATTTGGCGACGATGCTCGGAAGTCGGCGCTCGAGTTTCTGACGGCGACTGGCTGGCCTGTCTACCGTGTTCGTGGTCAGTGAGATTGGAAGTTGTGCAGTATAGCAGATATGAAAGGGTAGCTGACACCAGTAAACGGGCGGAATGTTGGGAAGCTTTAGAGTGGTCTCTGAGATCGCCTTGAGTAGGCTTGATGAATACAGGGGAGATTTGTAAACCCTACCATGACCCCAGAATAGAGTATGAAGTTCCCAAATAATAAGTACACAACGAAACTGTTAAGTTATAAGAATAATGTGCTCATATAATACCTAAAGCGGTTGATTCTTTTCAATAGAATTCCATTGTCATGTAGCTCAACCAGGTCAACCATCATCAGCCTTAGTGAGAAACAATCGCCATCACGAGATTTAAATCAGAATTATGGCAAGATCTGATCGACTTCTTTGCTTCTATCATGTTGGCCCCTACGGGAAAGCCTTTGACAACTGCAAACATCGCAAAGAGTTTAAATGCCGGAAGAAACTCCAACAACTGGTTCCACCCCAACCCCTAGCAAGTGAAAGTAATGTGATGCGTTGCTAACCATTTCAAAGGCACTCCTATGTTTACCCCTGAGCATACCATGCTCCTATCGCCCAATATCGACAGTAATTTATCCAATCCGACTTTGATGAAAACCGCTAATGGCTAATGCCGTCGCCGCTACATCGCCATGATCTCTATTATTAAGAGAAGCATGTAGACTCCCGATCTGGACGATCCTTATTTAAACGAATGCTCTGATCGTAAAGATGACCACAACGAATTGCGTGACATGGTGACGGAAATAAGATTACATTTGAGGATTGAGAACGATGCCGGCCGCGTAAGCGTAGTGGCCTTTGGCTACGAGATCCTCAAGCTCACATGACCTCGCAACAAGCAGAGTCAAAGCTATCTCAAGCTCTATACACAACGTTTCGCCTTCACCTCTTAGCAGAGGCTGAGTAAATGGGTACAACAAGTGCAATCAGCACTTTAGTCCAATGACGTAACAGAGAGATAATATAAGAAACAGGAGATATTATCTATGATTATTGAACAAAGCGCGCTGACGGCAAAAGGAAGTAATTCAGAAATGATACATCTAAAATTTGCAAAAGGAATAAATGCAGAACATATTTCGAGGGATGGGAATCACCCATGCACCTAAGGGAGTTACGCTTGGCCTATTTGATCGAAATCATGAAATATAGAACATACCCCCGAAGAGGTTCGTGACCAAGCGACCGCGGGATGCTACCACTATACCAACTGGGATTTCTTTGGTGAAATAAGCTGACATTATCACAGATTATATAGGACTAGCACTAAGCGCACTAATATTTATGCAATCCCAAGAGGCCTAACTGTTTTGACATCCTTATGGAAAGACTGAAGTTGGCTGACCGAGCTTATGCAACGAATGTTAATATGGCACTGAGATAGAGAAGCCTAACACCTCGACAGCTCATTAATTGCAATTGTTCAGATTGCTCTTTCACGTTTTTGCTTTGTCAAAGCCGTGACTGGATTTTCACAATCTCGCCATCTAAAATCTAGATATTTTCAGCCACCTCCAACACCATCGCTGGCATGATTCACGACCACTTCACTCCAACTCCCTTTTTATACCAACCTCTACACAGGAACTTTCCAACTCGAGAAGGAGCTTCACTCCTTGCAAAGGGTACGCCACTTCCTTCTGAATTTCATAAGCCTTATCTGATATCTCGATGCAAGTCTTCCGTATCGGTCCTAGAATTCCAAACTCATGTCAGCCAAATACTCGAAAACAACCTCGGTAACAAGCAGATGAACTTACGCAGCACGTTACATCCTCAAGAACCCATCGTTTCTCCCATGCGGAAAGCTTCTTCAAGCTGAGCCAGACGGAACGCCTCATCTGAGGTACAATGATACTCGACAAGTCGACGCAGACTTTCTGGAACACCACCAGTCTTGGCCAGACTCCGATACCAGCGCCTCTCAATACAGGGAAACATCTGCGGATCTTGTTGAAGCGCGTGCTGCAGACTCTGGAGTAACAATGCCATCCCTGCCCTCTAATCAGCGATGGCTTCGTTCTGGAGTTCAAATGCAGTGGCGAAAGCGCTGCGCTCAATTTCCATGGATTCTCTCTCCTGCTGCACAAGGCCGTGCGCCTCCTGTTCCATCGCCTTCATCTTCTCGTCATGAAAATCAGCGAAGAGGGCGACTCCCCGACGGACCTTGTTCACGACCTCTCGACGCTCCAGCTCTGGAAGTCCCTTTCGCAAGGGCTGCAGATCAGCGACGTAAAAACGAAGGATATCAGCGCCCATACCGCACCAGGCCATATCCTTCCGTCGGTTGGGGACTTCAACAGTGTACTCCCATTCGGAGATATATTCGTCGATGAACTCTGAAAGTTTGTTAAACCACAGTGGGTCGTGACTCAGGCACCAAGTGTGAACGGTGTGCTTCATCTCGGAAGGGAGTACACGAAGGATGGGCTCGGTCAGCCACTTCGATACCGCTGGCTTTAGGAGCTTGTCGACAAACTTTGACTTGCCCATCTTGGCGATATTCTCGCTGGCTTGCTCGAGGGCTTCTTCTCGGGTGACTGTCTTCTGGACCAGAGTGGGGGCTGAGTCAAAGCTGTCCACTGAGGAGATGGACTCTGTGTCCTGCTGATCGAGAGAGGACTCGGACATCTTCCTTTGGAGCGCTCTTTACAGGCTGTGAGGTTGATTGTCGTAGAGACTTTTTGTCTTGTTATCAGCAACTTTGTTGGGATGAGTCCTTAGAGACGGAGGCAAACAAATCGCAAGACAGCGTTGAGTTTCCTCTTCGGTACTAGCACTTCGCTGTCAACACCCCCAAAGATTTCAGTCGATGTGTATTACTGAGCTGCCAACAGAGACTCACCAACAAGCTCAACGTGGTGATTATAAGCTCTCAGCCCAGGGCGATGATCAACAGACACTATGCTTCGTCTCAGAGCCTGCACTGTACGAAATCGAGATGTAGTGATAACACGAATTGATAAAGAGTACATTAGGCAAAGAAGCAAACAGAAATGTCAAATGTAATGAAAGTTGGGTTTTCGTGCAACAAGACGTAAGCCAAAAGCAAAGTCTAAGAATTCAGAGTGCGTCGAGATGAGTGAGTGGCCCTCGGAGGACAGTCTCTCCAGGAGATCAACCCTGCCATTAGATCTATCAAGGTCACTGGCCCTGTGTCGTTTGCTCCGGAGCAGATCCACTGCCTATCGTTACACGGGCGACATTGAGCGATATCGGGCTGCTTCTGCCTGTTGGCATGGATCGATGCGTATTCAGTTACATGGAAATCATCTTTATCACATTGAGAAAAGATCTACTCATTGAAAATTTGCATAACTTTCTGCTTATCCCGCTTGTGAGCGAACTGATATTGATAAGCAAGGTTTGATTTTTAGGAAGACCCTACCGCTCTCACGTTTCACTAGCCACCACTTTCATTCTGTCTCAGACCAACTAAAGAAGACGCAAAACTAACTTAACACCTTGCACACAAGACTGGAGCCCTGAGAATGCTCCGAACAACAAACGACGGAGTGGAAATCACCAGCATCTTGGAATCTTTCTGGCGCGGCATCATTCATCCAATCACAGGCCGGTTCCGTGGTCTAGTTGGTTATGGCATCTCGTTAACACCGAGAAGGTCCCCGGTTCGATCCCGGGCGGAACCACTCTTTTGCTCTGTACTCGACCGAGAAGCAGTTCTTTTTTGCCTTCTCTTTGATAATGATGTTTTGAAATATCCGAAGCTGTAAAGGGGCTTCAACGTCTCGTCAAAACATGACGTTCTGACATGCGGATAGTTGATATTGTGTTACGTGGGCCTCAAGGAGTCAAGGAGTAAGAAACTTTCTGAATCTTTACGGGCTTGGTTTTAAGGTATTTTTGACTCAGTTCACGAAAGTCTGTTCATTATTTAGATTGAGGTCTTAAGTTATCTTGCTTACAGTTGGCAAGTTGAAGCTTGAACGTTAGTCTTGAAGATGGAGGTCAGGACCACGACAACAACCCAGTAACAGAACAGAATAATGAAGTAGAGACTTGAACGGTCTTCCCATTTTAAGAATTCGCATTCGAAAGTCAAGGTCTGATGCCACGATGGATCCCACGTAACGAATGAGCCGCTGGGCTCAGCATGATCAGAAGATACTCACATAAAACAGGAAAGATAAAAGGTAGGAAGCTATTGAACTTTGAAGTGATCATTATATTTATCGTCTATAAAATGCTAAAATATTCATAAACCATGGTATCCCCCCTCTTTCATTAAACCCTCATTAAAATCCCATCTCTTTAATTCATTTTAAATCATCAAAACATTTCACTTGATCTGCTGGATGCTCTTCCAGCTTCCGCTGTGGTCTCCGTACAAGTACTCGCGAACACTCGCTGTTGTAGGAGCGTCACCGCCGGCATAATCAACAATGGAGATGCTCTTGTAGTAAGCGTTGAAAGGACCCTGTGAGTAGTCGGCAAGACCACCAGCCCAGGCGATGGTACCAGGGGCAGCATCGGGAGAACCAGCAGTCCATGTTCCGAGCTTGATCTGCATGGGGGTCTGGGGGTAGCCGTTGGGACCGGTGGCGTCGGTGTAAGGAAGGGTCCGGACGACTTGGTCGTCAATCAACCAGTTGATGGCGGCGGGAGTCCACTCGATGGAGTAGAGATGGAACTGGCCTGTAGGGTTGGCGACGGGATGGAATTCACCGCGGTCATATGTTGAAACATCTCCCTTGCTGAAATAATTTGACTGAACTTGAGCGTTATCACCTCCGAGCCACTCCCAATCAATCTGAAGTTGTCAGTTGATGCTTTATACAAGTTGGTGGTGAACTTACCTCGTCAAGGTTATCGGACTGAAGAACAGCACTAGTGCAGATACCTACACCAGTAGAGGCTTGCACCTCGACATCCACGCGTCCAAAGAAGATGTACTTGCCCGTCGCAATTGTAGGAGCCTGGTTGGGTCCGGAAATTGTGAAGACAGCACCATTTTCGTTGTGCTCAAGCGCAGTACCGGCATCCTCAGCAAAAGCGTCACATGCACCCTTTGTAAAGTCACAGTGGACAGTGTCTCTTCCAAAAGCAGGGTCGGCAGGACATGCTATGTTGTGTAAGTCAAGTGTCCCGAGTTGTTGGATTAAAGTGGTGAGACTTACTGGCTGTCATGGGGTTACACTTTGTGAATGTTTGGGCTGAGACAAGAGGTGCCGCGAGGGCGAGGGCAGCGATGGCTTTGGAGAACATTCTTGCTAGTGTAGTGTAACGAGGTACAACAGATAGATGGCTTGTCAGTAATGCACAATTATCCAAAATATTGGTAGAATGAGGATGGGATGAGATGTTTTTAATGTTCTCACGCACGTTGATATAGTACTCGGATTTCGAGTCAATTGGCAGTTGGTGAAGGCTGGTTTAATACTTTGCTTCCTGGTGACAAGAGGGCTCCCCAACCTCCTCCCCCTGTCAAAAAGCCTCGGTTTATATCGATCAGACGATGGCTCGTATCGCAGTGCTAGCGTCGACTAAGCAACCAGGGTTGGCCTGCTCGCAAGCCACCAACGGCAGGGGTCTCCACATCCCTTGCATCAGATCACCAATAGCACGGACAAAACCCTGCCAAGAGTGAGTGAGTGAGTCGCTGTAGTGAAAAATAACGGCCAGAGCGTGAACTGCTATGAGACAAGAGGCTTTTCCAGATCCGTTCGGTGGTGCAGTAGTTAGTTGGGTGGCTTGCAAGTCTTACCAACCACTGATACGAACTCCCGCCCGGCCATTTTTCCCCCCCAGCAAGGGTCTAGATCGTGGTGGGCTGCTTCGCTAGCTCGACATCGTGGGTGAGCGGGCTGTGTGCGATATGCGTCCAGGGACTTTGAACTAAAGCATGCGGATTGTCAGCGGAGGAGTAAATTCCTTGTTGCTGACGTCAGGTCAATCAATCATCAGAAGTCAATTGACTCACTGTAACAGTAATTCAATTGTCTCTCTTCTGCTCGTGGTATTTTCGTATGATACTCTCTCGAAAGGTCGGCTAGACTACAACCGTATTTGTCTGGGCTAAACGGCCAACCTCCCCAAATACGAGACGCTATCACGACAACGAGCGGCTAAAGAAAATGGGAGGCTGCAAAAGCGCTGTATCCGTAAAAGAAGGTTACGATAGGGATGACGGACTACCTATGGCCCGTTCTTCTTTTTTTGTCCCGCCGCTCTAACCGACTTTTCCTTATTCTCCATTCTTCTCTGCATGTCGACCCTAGACCGACCGAGGCCTAAGCTGAGGAACATGAACATGTCAAAGCTCCGCGTCCCCCACTGATCGTTATCAGCTCTCCACTGATGAACGACAATCTGCAGTTCTATTGTTTCGGAGACTTGAAGATCTCGCGGATCTTTATTTCAGCTCGTAGTCAACCAACTGATTTGATGCCATTGAATAGACAATCATTCATAGATCGAGCAATTGACAACGAGAGTATTGTCTCCGCCAAGAGAGAGAGAGTCTCAGTAAGCTTCCATCGTGGGCTCAGCTGATCCGTCATGAGGTGCTGTACCCCGCTTGAACCATGCATCATCATGGAGAACAGGGTCCTTGATGCATGCATCACCACTCGGACCCGGCATCATCGACAGAGCATGTCTGACCGTATATCGACTTTTCTCGTTTCCCCGCTTTCCACATGCTGATTCAAGCAGATCTCGTGCTTTAATCAGCATAGACCTTCCTGATGAAGACATCACGACGTATGCATGCAACCCCAATTGTTCACTCGCGCATCAATCATAATCATCCGAGCGTGAGTTGATGCGATGGGACGTTGGACATCACAAGTTCCACCGAGACAAGGCTGTAGTGAGGGGAAATGCACCATGATTCTCAGCCTCATGGTCTAGTGATCAATAGCTCGGGGTCATCCTGGCATCCGGATACCCGTGCTGCCGTCCTTGAAGCTGTAACCCCGCTTGTTCCCGTTCAATAGACGACCAGCAGACAGTAGTAGCTCGACGGCCAATTCCGCATTCTTTCGCGAGGGCAATTGAAGTGAAGCTATCTCAACATCGTAAAGTAGAAGCATTTTAACGCAAGGCACAACCGTATTTTAGCAGTAGTACACGTCTAAAAATACCAATTAAGTCCGCGCTTTCACAAACGCGGTACAACGTTGCAAAAGGTGAGCGCCACGATCGGTGGCTGGTTGCCTCAACAATAGGCTGGATCCGGAGGGACCGAACGTTAAATCTGACCGCTTGCGTGCCAATCCAACACGAGGCAGATTTGAATACGATCGCTAGACGAGACGATGGACACTCACTCAATCTTTGAATAAGCCAATGTGGCTAGAAATTTGATTGTCACTTGGCGACTCTTAATAGCGCCAAATGGTTCATTCAATTTAGCTCGGCGGCATTCCTCTACTTCGTATAGCTAAACGGAGCTTCATTCCAGCTACCGCACTAAAGAAATAGAACGATCTGCTCCACGAAAAGAATTCTTCTAGCTTCAAGAATCATTCCCGCCGACATCCAATCTCATGACGGCTGCATGACCTCGAGTCGTTCCAGAAGCATTAGGATCATTGAACCAGTAGTCATGGACGACCTCAAAACCCGACTTCTCGTAGCATTTCATAGCCGCGACAGAGTTGAAGTTG